CAAATAATAGAAGGGAAAGAAAAATTTCCAGACTCATTCTATGAAGCCAGCATTACTTTGATTCCTAAACCAGACAGAGACCCAGTAAAAAAAGAGAACTACAGGCCAATATCCCTGATGAATATGGATGCAAAAATTCTCAATAAGATACTAGCAAATCGAATTCAACAGCATATAAAAAGAATTATTCACCATGATCAAGTGGGATTCATTCCTGGGATGCAGGGCTGGTTCAACATTCGCAAATCAATCAACGTGATACATCACATTAACAAAAAAAAAAAAGAGAAGAACCATATGATCCTGTCAATCGATGCAGAAAAGGCCTTTGACAAAATCCAGCACCCTTTCTTAATAAAAACCCTTGAGAAAGTCGGGATAGAAGGAACATACTTAAAGATCATAAAAGCCATTTATGAAAAGCCCACAGCTAACATCATCCTCAACGGGGAAAAACTGAGAGCTTTTTCCCTGAGATCAGGAACACGACAGGGATGCCCACTCTCACCGCTGTTGTTTAACATAGTGCTGGAAGTTCTAGCATCAGCAATCAGACAACAAAAGGAAATCAAAGGCGTCAAAATTGGCAAAGATGAAGTTAAGCTTTCACTTTTTACACATGACATGATATTATACATGGAAAACCCGATAGACTCCACCAAAAGTCTACTAGAACAGACACATTAATTCAGCAAAGTCGCAGGATACAAAATCAACGTACAGAAATCAGCTGCATTCTTATACACCAATAATGAAGCAACAGAAAGACAAATAAAGAAACTGATCCCATTCACAATTGCACCAAGAAGCATAAAATACCTAGGGATAAATCTAACCAAAGATGTACAAGATCTGTATGCTGAAAACTATAGAAAGCTTATGGAGGGAATTGAAGAAGATATAAATAAATGGAAAAACACTCTGTGCTCATGGATTGGAAGAACAAATATTGTTAAAATGTCAATACTACCCAAAGCAATCTACACATTCAATGCAAGTTCAATCAAAATTGTACCAGCATTCTTCTGGAAGCTAGAACAAGCAATCCTAGAATTTGTATGGAACAACAAAAGATCCCAAAGAGCCAAAGTAACATTGAAGAAGAAGACCAAAGCAGGAGGCATCACAATCCCAGACTTTAGCCTCTACTACAAAGTTGTAATCATCAAGGCAGCATGATATTGGCACAAAAACAGACACATAGACCAATGGAGTAGAATAGAGACTCCAGAATTGGACCCACAAAAGTATGGCCAACTCATCTTTGACAGAGCAGGAAAGAGTATCCAATAGAAAAAAGACAGTCTCTTTAACAAATGGTGCTGGGAGAACTGGACAGCAACATGGAGAAGGATGAAACTAGACCACTTTTTTGCACCATTCACCAAAACAAACTCAAAATGGATGAAGGACCTGAATGTGAGACAGGAAACCATCAAAACACTAGAGAAGAAAGTAGGGAAAAACCACTCTGACCTCAGCTGCAGCAATTTATTACTTGATATATCCCCAAAGGCAAGGGAATTAAAAGCAAAAATGAACTATTGGGACCTCATCAAGATAAAAAAGCTTCTGCACAGCAAAGGAAACACTCAACAGAACTAAAAGGCAGCCAATGGAATGGGAGAAGATATTTGCAAATGACATATCAGACAAAGGGCTAGTATCCAAAATCTATAAAGAGCTCACCAAACTCCACACCCGAAAAACAAATAATCCAGTGAAGAAATGGGCAGAAAACATGAATAGACACTTCTCTAAAGAAGACATCCAGATGGCCAACAGGCAGATGAAAAGGTGCTCAATGTCGCTCCTCATCAGGGAAATACAAATCAAAACCACACTCAGATATGTCCTCACGCCACTCAGAGTGGCTAAAATGAACAAAACAGGAGACTATTGATGCTGGAGAGGATGTGGAGAAACGGGAACCCTCTTGCACTGTTGGCAGGAATGCAAATTGGTGCGGCTGCTCAGGAAAACGGTGTGGAGGTTCCTCAAAAAATTAAAATAGACCTACCCTATGACCCAGCAGTAGCACTGCTAGGAATTTACCCAAGGGATATAGGAGTACTGATGCATAGGGGCAACTGTACCCCAATGTTTATAACAGCACTCTCAACAATAGCTAAATTATGGAAATAGTCTAAATGTCCATCAACTGATGAATGGGTAAAGAAATTGGGGTTTATATATATAATGGAATACTACTTGGCAATGAGAAAGAATTAAATATGGCCTTTTGTAGCAACGTGGATGGAGCTGGAGAGTGTTAAACTAAGTGAAATAAGTCATATAGAGAAAGACAGATACCATATGTTTTCACTCTTATGTGGATCCTGAGAAACTTCACACAAGACCATGGGGGAGGGGAAGGGAAAAATATTAGAGAGGGAGGGAGCCAAACCATAAAAGACTATTAAAAACTGAGAATAAAGTAAGGGTTGATGGGATGTAGGAAGGAGATGAAAGTGGGTGATGGGCAGTGAGGAGGGCACCTTTGGGATGAGCACTGAGTGTTGTATGGAAACCAATTTGGCAATTAATTTCATATTAAAAAATTTAAAAATAGATCTACCCTATGACCCAGCCATAGCACTGCTAAGATTTTACCCAAGGGATACAGGAGTGCTGATGCATAGGGTCACTTGTACCCCATTGTTTATAGCAGCACTTTCACCAATAGACAAATTATGGAAAGAGCCTAAAAGTCCAGCAACTAACGAATGGATAAAGAACATATGGCATATGTGTATATGTATATGTGTATATGTATATGTGTGTGTGTGTGTGTGTGTGTGTGTGTGTGTGTGTGTGTGTATCATATATAATTGGCAATGGGACAGAATGAAATCCAGCCATTTGTAGCAACGTGAATGCGTGAATGAACTGGAGGGTATTATGCTAAGTGAAATAAGCTAGACAGATAAAGACAGTTACTAATGTTTTCACGCTTATGTGGATCTTGAGAAACTTAACAGAAAAACATGGGGGAGGGGAAAGGGGGAAATAACAGAGAGGGAGGGAGGCAAACCGTAAGAGACTTAAATGCTGAGAAAAAAATGAGGGTTGATGGGAGGTGGGGAAGATGGGAAAGTGGGTGATGGGCAGTGAGGAGGGCACCTGTTGGGATGAACACTAGGTGTTGCATGGAAACCAGTTGACAGTAAGTTGTATTTAATATATAAAAAACGAATGAACAGGTTAACCAGGAAATCAGCAAAGAATTTAAAAACATATACATGGAAGCAAATGAACTTGAAAACACGACTGTCCAAACACTATGTGATTCAGCAAAGATCATCTTAATAGGAATATACATAAAAGTCTATCTCAAGAAGCAAGATAGGTCCCAAATACATGTCTCACGTTACACCTAAAGAAACTAGAAAATGTCCAGTAAATAAAGCCAAAAGCCAGCAGAAGGGGAATGATAAACATTAGAGCAGATATGAACAATATTTGAAACCAACAAACAAAACAGCACAGTAGATAACTAAAAGTAAATGTAGGTTCTTTCAAAGAAAAAAAAAACTGATAACATCCCTAGTCAGACTTATCAAGAAGAAAATAAAGAATACTGAAATAAAAAAAATCACAAATAAAAGAGGGAAGACCACAATGTATGTCAAAGAAATATAAACAATGATAAGATCCTGGACCAGTTGGCTTCCCAGGAAATTTCTTCCAGGCATTTAAAGAAGAGTTAATACCTACTTTTCTCAAACTTTTCCCCGAAAATTTAAATGGAAGGAAGGCTGGCAAACTGATTCCAGGACACCATCATTACCTTGGATCCAAAACCAGACAAAGATGCCACACACACACACACACACACACACACACACAACAAAACAAACAAACAAACAAACAAAGGACACTTATCAGCCAATATCCCTGATTAATCTGGGTGCAAAAATCTCAACAAGTACTAGCAAATAGAATTCAACATTACATTAAGAGAACTATGCACAGAGATCAAGTGGGATTTATACCTGGGCTGCAGGGCTGATATAAATATTTGCAAATAAGTCAACGTGATATACCACATTAATAAAAGAAAAGATAAGAATCACGATACCCTAAATAGATACAGAACATGCATTTGACAAAATACAGCACTCTTTCTTGATAAAAACCCTCAAGAAAATAAGGATAGAAGGAACAATTCTCAACATTATAAAGGCCATATAGGAAAGACCCACACCGAATATCATCCTCAATGGTAAAAGCTGAGAATTTCCCCCCTAATGTCAGGAACACGACACAGATGTCCATTCTCACAGCTGCTGTTCAGTATATTACTGGAAGTCCTAGCCTCAGCAATCACACAACAGAAAGAAATAAAAGACATACAAATTGGCAAGGGAAAAGTCAAATTTTCACTCTTCACAGATGACATAATATTCTATGCTAAAACCCCAAAGACACCAAAAACTGCTAGAACTGATTCATGAATTCAGAAAGCTGCAAGGTATAAAATCAGCATACTGAAACTGGTTGCATTTCTTTACACCAATAGTGAAACAGCAGGAAGAGGAACCAAGGAAACAATCCCATTTACAATTACACAAAATGATGTAAAATACCAAAAAATAAACCTAACCAAAGAGGTCAAAGACCTATATGGTGAAAAATATAGAAAGCTTATGAAAGAAATTGAACACACAAAGTGGGGCACCTGGGTGGCTGAGTCAGTTAAGCATTTGACTTCGGCTCAGGTGATAATCTCTGAGAGTGTGATTTAGAGCCCTGTGTTGAGCTCTATGCTGACATCTCAGGACCTGGAGCGTACTTCGGATTTTGTGTCCTCCCCCCACCCCTACTCACACTTTGTCTCTCTCTGTCTCTCAAAAATTAATAAACACTTAAAAATTAAAAAAAAAGAAGACACAAAAAAGCATAAACATTCCATGCTTGTAGATTGGAGGAACAAATATTGAGAGCAGCATGCCTCCAACAAAGAAAACATCCCTGGATATTGAAAACGGGAAAACAGTCCCCTGATGATGGAGTTTAGGCGGGAAAGTGAGCAGTGTTTACTGACACACAGTAGATTGCTCTGGGTCACATTAGAAGGAGCAGCAGTATACAAGATGCAGTTACTAATGAGAGACAAACTGAGAAACCGTAAGATGATAAAAGAATGGAAGATGTACCTTTTGCACGTATGTTTAAAGCTGGCCAACCAGGAGGTGCCAGGGCTGATCATGATGGCCTTGAACATGCTGAGGAGGCAGGTGGTGCTCAAGGAGAGATCCCGTGTCATCCCGATCATGCAGAATAAAGCCATGCATTTGAAATCATTTAGAATGTTCAGTACTTCAAACAGGTCTGTAGACATTAAAAAACAGTGCAGTGAAGAGTTTCATTATGTGGACAAAGGCCAAGTGATAGATGATCAGGACAGTTGGCTTAGGTCTATGATCCAGAAGTAGCATGAAGATGTGGAAGAGAAGCAGGAAGGTGTTGGCAAAAATTCCAATACGAACTTGTAAAAACTGGCCTATCTTCTTACAAATATAATGGACGATATCATCATCACAGTGACAAAGAAAAAACATATTTTGTCTATCTGAAAAATTAGACCTCACGTTATCAATGTCATTTATTCCTTTGTCAAAATCATCACCACAGATCACTTTTTGTTTTACTCAATTAATCATTAAGTCTATGTTGTATAAAGTCTTAGAAATAGAGTCTCAATATTATTTGTACACCACTTGACTGTGTGTATATTATGTACGTACGTATCTATATGTTATCTTTCAATATCTATCTATCTGTCTGTCTATATGTGTCATCTAAATTGGGAAGGAGAGAAGGAAAGAGAGGAAGGAGAGAGACATAGAGAAAGAGAGATCTCATATCCATATTAATGCCAGGATGATGTCCCCATTCCCCATACTCCCCATACAGTATATTCATTTGTTTTTTTTAAAGTTTGCTTTCCTGTTCTGCATTTTCCTGTCTCATATTCAGCATCAAGAATCCTAACAGCCATTAAAGTTTGCATAGATGTTTGTATAGTTGAACTGTTGCACATTTTACCCTAATGGGAAAAGAATTATGAAAGAAACAATTGGGGGAAAAAATATGCCCAGGCAAGTCTTCCATCACATACTGTGACACTTTTTCTTCTTCCTCCTTCCAAACTTAGAGACCATCATGATCGCGTTTGGTCTATCCTGTTAATTCAGCACAATCTCCCCTTAAAATTAGATAATTATTAATAATCTTTCAACAAAAACCTTAATTCTCATTGTCATACAACCTAATGATTCATATCAGGGATATGATGATTTGCATACAAACATACGAGAGGATGGAAATAACTATTTTATTACAAATCCTATTAACAAACTTTATTCACATTGAACCTGGCACACTCCCCTTTATTTTCATCACGGTGATTCATTTTATAATCTCTTTTTATATCAGTAGGGAATTGCTGAAGTCCAGCTCTCAATTTTCAAGAGGACAAACAACTAATATCCACTTTACGATGTCCACAAAATTGTTTTAAAATATTTTTATGGACACCTTTGCAGGGAACTTCATTTAATAAAAGGATAGCCTCTCGTGCCATTAAAAAATCTCCAATAGGGACACCTGAGTGGCTCAGTCAGTTAGGGTCTGACTCTTGATTTTGGGTGTGGTCATGATCTCAGGGTAGTGACTGATGTAAGCCTCTGCACTGACAGCTCAGAGCCTACTTGGGATTCTCTCTCCCCTCTCTCTCCCCTTGCCCCCTCTCACACACTCATTCTCTCAAAATAAATAAATAATCATTTGTAAAATTTATTTGTATAATTGGACATATTGAGTATATATACACACACACACATATGAATATATACTCATCCTTATGTGTGTGTGTGTATATATATATTTATATATATGTATGTATATAGGATATTTATATATAGGATATATGACTATATTGGAGATATATATTATCATATATATATGCTCATCCTCATGTCTCTTCAGGATATTTCCAATATCAGAATACTTTGTAAAATGTCATTGAACATTTTCGCAATTATCTTATCATGGTATTTGCCCTATATGTAGGCATAATTATTTTACTCAATTAATGTGATAAGAATATTTAGCTGTATACATATTTCATTTATTCTTCTATTGAAATGAGAGAGTACTCACCATTGTTTTCAGTGAAGAAATTTTGAGAGTGAATGTTCTTGGCTGAAATTCAGAATATCACTTGCTCTATAAAATTGCTGGGGTAAAAAAATGCTCTATAATCACCTGATATATGGGATTTTATAATGCAGTAATTATGCATTTGATTAAATGGCTGTAACTATGTTACCAAATAATTATTATGTGAGAAATTTATCAAAAAGTGGTTTTGGGTGCAACTGCAAATGGGATAGATTCACTGATTTCTCTTTCTGTCGCTTCATTGTTGGTGTATAGAAATGCAACTAATTTATGTGTTTTGATTTTATATCCTGTAACTTTGCTGAATTCATGAATCAAGTCTAGCAGTTTTTTGGTAGAATGTTTTGGGTTTTCCATATAGAGTACCATGTCATCTGCGAAGAGTGAAAGTTTGACCTACTGGCTGATTTAGATGCCTTTTATTTCTTTGTGTTTTCTGATTGCAGAGGCTAAGACTTCTAATACTATGTTGAATAACAGTGGCGAGAGTGAACATCTCTGTCTCATTCCTGACCTTAGGGGGAAAGCTCTCAGTTTTTCCCCATTGACCATGATATTAGTGTTGGGTCGTTCATATATGGCTTTCATAATCTGGAGGTATGATCCTTCTGTCCCTACTTTCTTGATGGTTTTTATCAAGAAAGGATGCTGTATTTTGTCAAATGCATCCTCTGCATCTATTGAGAGGGTCATATGGTCCTTGTCTTTTCCTTTTCCGATGTGATGAATCACATTAATTGTTTTGGGGATATTAAACCAACCCTGCATCCCAGGTATAAATCCCACTTGGTCATGGTGAATATTTTTTAATGTATTGTTGGATCCGGTTGGCTGATATCCTGTTGAGGATTTTTGCATCCATGTTCATCAGGGAAATTGGTCTATAGTTCTCCTTTTCAGTTGGGTCTCTGTCCAGTTTTGGAATCAAGGTAATGCTGACTTCATAGAAAGAGTTTGGAAGTTTTCCTTCCATTTCTATTTTCTGGAACATGTTCAAGAGAATAGATGTTAACTTGTCGCGGCCGGCACGACA